ATTTAATTATGTTCAGTTTGCTTATAAACGTTGTTAATTGATATTTAAATAGCAGAAATGTACTAGAGTATGAGATACCTGGCGCGAGTTCTCGTGTTTAAAAATGAGTGCGTGTTCTCACGGGTTAAAATCCAAAACCTTTCAGATTTTCTTTTCATGGTTTTTTTTACCTGAATTTTCTTTACTCAGCTATTATTCTCTAACCACCCAAGATAACTATGGCATCAAAAAAGCCAATAACATTAACCTTTTTTAAAAAGATATTAAAAACCAAGTCTTCTAGCACCCACAGTAATGTTTCATTCAAATTCGATCAGCTCTTCCATTTTATCCATTTTCACACTAACTGTGGTGATAACTATTTTTTCTTGAAAAGAGAATGCTTTATATATAATGAAATTCTGGCTGTTACATCACTAAATCACTGGCAGACTGATCCATGTTTAAAAATGGAGGTCTGATATTTTGGTCTATATTTAAAAAATCCCAAAATAAAAATCTTGTGCAAAGCAATTAATCACAAACCAGAGGCAGTGAAAAAGTTTTTTTTTCCTTTACACCTTGTGCTAAGTGTTTAGCAATGGAAAAAAAAATTATCAAAATTCTTTTAAAATATACAGTGAACTCTTGATTAACCAGGACTATAAGAGATGAAAAGTTAAGTTTTATTCTGCACACTGATGGAAAAATCATTACAAACCATTCACATAAAACAAAAATATCTGCAATAAATATAGTATATAAAGAAAAGTAAAAAAAAAAAAAAATGCATAGGGAAATAGCAAATGATGGCACAATTTTGAGCACTCGTGCTTATTACCAATAATAAGTAATTAACTAATTCTGTGGAATCAGAATATTAACAAAGTTTTTTATGCAAATCATAACTCGGTTGATCTTTACAATATGGTAACTGGTAGTTTGGCGACATTTTGGAGGCGATAAAGGTTACTACCTGGGACTTTGGTAATAATGTGAGCAGTACTCAGTTCCGATTACGCATTATTTGCGTGGGGAAATGAGAGCTCATGGGATATGTCATGTGATATTATGGACGATTACGGTTCTTTAATCGGAAAAGGGGAAATCGGGAAAAAATCTGGAATTTGTATTTAGCTTTATTCTGTGTTGTGTGAAACAGTGTTTGTTAATTTTTGGATCCCATGGCCCTAACTAAAGTGAATTCAAATGGGTATTTAGGCATTATGATAAAGAGAAGTTTTGCTTTTTTATTTAGCGGAGGTAGTATGGAGGAAAAATCGCAGAAAAATTCTTTCATAATTTATTGAATGAATTAGAAAAGTGTATCCGCCACGTAATCAAGATTCTGAAGAAATTAGGTAAGTTAGTATTTTAATTATTTGAGGATTTATTTTTTATGCATTGTTCTAAATGTAAGGTGGAAAGGAATTTGGTATTATTGGGAAAATTTGTTATTAGCAATGATTTAGTTTAAGTAATTCGGATTGTAAGGTAATTTTTATTAATTTAATGTATGTGCTCATTTATATTTTAAGTAGTATTTTGAACTTAATTATATTTTAATGAAATGATAGTTATTTTGTGAATTTTATGTTTGTCGGATTTGGTATACGTTAAGTTGAAGTAAATGTGCATGGAAATAATTTAAATATTTGATACTAAGTATTTGTAATGCTTGCGGTATGAATTCGTTGGTGACGTGTATAATGTAATAGATGATTAGAGGTAAAGTTTTTTTGGATATTTTTATTTATTTTATTGTGGAAATGGTTCATATTTGGAAAGGGTAAATACTTTTTTCGCGATCAGGTAATTTCATATATGTTCTTTTTACCGGGTTTAAAGATGAGAAAATTGTCATGTATTTTCGTGAAATTTTTCTAATTTATGAGAAAAAGCAGTGTACATGGATATAGTGAAAAGTGTGCGCAATGCCATTTTTGTGCAATTCTGGGATGTTTTTTTAATAAAAATAATCGGCGTGTACATGGTTTATGTGTATGTGTTATTTTGAAAAACGCGTAAGGAGTATGGTATTGTGCACTTTTTCCCCAATTTTGCAGTGAATATTTTCATGATTAAGCAGTTTTGTTTGATAAAATTTCTAGCATGAGTGTAATTCGGCTACTAGATTGTTGGAAGAAGTGTTCAGTAGATAAAAAGAAAAGAAACATGTCTTTACTTCGTGAAGACAAAATGGCGGCGGGGAAAAAAAATAGAGGGTTGCTGTAAGAGAGGGTTTTGCCAAATTTTCGCCAAAAAATCGCCAAGTTACCATAATGTAAAGATCAACCCATAACTCAATGAACATTACTCAAATCTACTTGTAAATGTTGTTCTTTAATGGAATTTAACTCATTCTCATTTTTAATGAAATTTATCCTCCCATTAAGTATATTCTGCTTTTAATGTCGATTTCAATTTAAGTGAACAAATGAAATTACTCTCTAGATTAAACTGCCTGAAAACACAGTTAAATCATTAATAACATTTTCCCATTAATTATAAAATTAAGTATTCTGAGCATTTTTAATTGCCCTCTCATTAAATATGAGGTTGATCTTTACACTATGGTAACTTGGCGTTTTTTTGGCGAAAATTTGGCGACCAACTCTCCTACAGCAACCCTCTATTTTTTTTTCCCGCCGCCATTTTGTCTTCACAAAGTAAAGACATGTTTCTTTTCTTTTTATCTACTGAACACTTCTTCCAACAATCTACTAGCCGAATTACACTTATGCTAGAAATTTTATATAACAAAACTGCTTAATCATGACAAATATTCACTGCAAAATTGGGAAAAAGTGCACAATACCATACTCCTTACGCGTTTTTCAAAATAACACATACACATAAACCATGTACACGCCGACTTATTTTTACTTAAAAAAACATCCCAGAATTGCACAAAAATGGCATTGCGCACACACTTCACTATATCCATGTACACTGCTTTTTTTCTCATAAATTAGAAAAATTTCAAGAAAATACATGACAATTTTCTCAATCTTTAAACCCGGTATAAAGATATATATGAAATTACCTGATCGTGAAAAAGTATTTATCCTTTCCAAATATGAACATTTCCACATATAAATAAATAAATATCCAAAACTTTTACCTCTAATCATCTATTACATTATACACGTCACCAACGAATTCATACCGCAAGCATTACACTACTTAGTATCAATATTTAAATTATTTCCATTCCACGTTTACTTCAACTTAAACGTGTAACAAATTCCTACAAACATAAAATTCACAAATAACTATGATTTAATTAAAATATCACTAAACCATGTACACGTCAACTTATTTTTACTTAAAAAAAAACATCCCAGAATTGCACAAAAATGGCATTGCGCACACTCTTCACTATATCCATGTACACTGCTTTTTTCTCAGAAATTAGAAAAATTTCACGAAAATACATGACAATTTTCTCAATCTTTAAACCCGGTAAAAAGAACATATATAAAATTACCTGATCGCGAAAAAGTATTTACCCTTTCCAAATATGAACATTTCCACTATAAAATAAATAAATATCCAAAAACTTTTACCTCTAAATCATCTATTCACTTATACAAGTCACCAATGAATTCATACCGCAAGCATTACAAATACTTAGTATCAAATATTTAAATTATTTCCATGCATGTTTACTTCAACTAAAACATATACCAAATTCCTACAAACATAAAATTCACAAAATAACTATCATTTAATTAAAATATAATTAAATTCAAAAACACTACTTAAAATATAAATGAGCACATACATTAAATTAATACATACATAAATACCCATTTCGAATTCACTTTAGTTACGGCCATGAGATCCAAAAATTCAGGAACACTGTTTCACACAACACAGAATAAAGCCAAATACAAAATTTCCAGATTTTTTTCCCGATATCCCCCCTTTTCTGATTCAAAGAACAGTGATTCGTCCATTAACTATCACATGGCACATCTCCATGATCTCTCATTTGCCTCACACAAAATAATGCGTAATCGGAACTCAGTACTTCTTACACATTATTACCCAAAGTGCCTAGGTAGTAACCTTTATCGCCTCCAAAATGTCGCCAAACTACCAGTTACCATATTGTAACGATCAACCAAATATGATTTTAACTTAATTGCGGATATCATCTCCTGTATTATCCTAATTAATCAGGAGTTGTCTGCAGGAATCAAAGCAGATGTATTATCAACTGTCTTCTATGGGTAAACTGTACAAACTTTTAGAAGTGCTAAGTGTTTATAGAAATTAACTGCATGTTGACACTTTCTGATAAAAGATAACCCACACACAATTTCAGTTAAAACAAGGCAAAAAATTAAGAGCAAATAACTTATTAATGATGATTAATAGACAGACTGCAATTACAGTAGCAAGCAGAGTTGAAATTTTGAGAATTTAGGCTTCTTTGCTGCTTAAAATATAAAAGTTTAAATATATGGGTCAAAAGTAACCTATCAATTTATAGACATGCGTTTCCTTCAAACTTTTAATACTGTGCCGAATAAAGTTTCTATTAAATATTTTAATTCTGGAAAACATATTTCACCATTTAATTATTCAAAACTCAACATTTAGCTATGGTGTAAAGGAGCAGCATACTCACACACAATGGATTAACTAGTATGAGAATGTAACTGATAGGGAAGAGTGGTTTGGACAAAACAATAAAATTTAAGTATATAAACACATAAATATAGACTTCGGATCAAAAACATATGTATCTTTTATTTACGCTGATATTAACCTATGGTAACTTCTAAACCAAAAATAATTAATACAAAACACTGCGGTTTATCTGGCTGAAGAATGTAATGTCTCATGGAACGCTTCACATGAAAAACTGGTTCATACTTAAAACAATATTACAAACAATAAGGTTCCCTTATACAAAAAATGATATATGACTATTTGAAAACGGCTTCTTTTTAAAAAAGCCGCTACACCTTATTTTATAAATTATGCTGTATTAAAAAAAAATTCTTTACCTGTACCACAACGACCGGCTGGGATAGCTTCTAACTGAATAGGCGATGGATGCTGGAACCTCGCTTTTGCGAGACCACGCAAAACTTTCTCAGACAATAACAAGGAAGAGAAATCAGCTTTCTCTTCAAGCATTACATCTCTAGATCTCCATTTAGCGTCTAAAACATGGGCTTTGCACTTCATCATTTTGAAAAGGTAAACAAATACAATTCCAGGAACTTTTGCAGAATGGATAATTAATGTCTTCAATTTCTAGTCTCGCTACTATACAATACGAAACAAAACATTTCAAAGGCTGTGTCTACCCGTACGACGTCGGACGTTTAGCTGAAACATGGTAAAAATGCTAAACGTACGAGTAGTTGCGCAGAGACACTTTCGTGATTTCTGCGCATTCCGACCAGTCGTAAAGAGATGTTTGTTTACATTTGTGTGAATTGCTTTTCCGTGTAGTGCTAGAATGTCAAGAAAAAGTTATTTTTTTATTTCGTTTGATGACTAATTACTATCATTCTTTGATAGATATCTAAAACTTTATATAAAATAAAGAACTTTAAATATATCTGAATATTATTCTTGTTTTAAATTGCTAATGTTTGACCATTTTATACTGATGCGGAGTTTACACAAATAATCAAAATTTCTTGAAATTCTTATCAACAGATTTAAATAAATCATGCATGCAAGCAGTAAAATCACATTCTTATGAAACGAAATTGAAAAATCGTCTTAAAACCTTGTGTAACTTTTTTCTGTCATGCGTAGCTAAATATTTCTATAAAATTGCATACAGAAGCATTTATATACATAAAGAGTGTGTTCAGGAGATTAATTCAGAAATGTATGTGCATATGCTTGTATGTACGGATGTAGGTGTTCATGTAGCATATGTATATGTGTGTACATACGTTTGTGTGTGTGTGCACAGATATACATGCATACATACATTTTTGAGTCTGGTCTCGAAAAGTCTTGCTGAAAAAGAATGTAAACAAACCACCCAGCTCCTTAAAAAAAAAAAAAAAGTTTAGAAATTTTTTATCATAATTTTGGTTTCTACAGCAAACTTTTGTGTGTGGGTTTGTTTTAAACTCTTAGAAGAACTCAAATTTTAATATAAAGACGTGAAAATTTTTGACCTTTTGATAGTGTACCTGATGATTTATTAAAAACACAATTGACTCTCTTATATTTAATATTGAAAAGAAGGAGGGGGATATGTACAAAATTATAATAAAGATAATTCTAAGGTATTTTTATAAATATATCGCTTACAAATGACTTATGCAGTATTTGTTTTATTATCATATCCTGCCCTCATAAGCTCAAAAATAAAACTTTATACAGGAAAGTCATTTTACCTCCAAATATATTTTATGGTATTGAAGTATGATAACAGATGATTATTTTTGTTAGAAAAATTATAATGTTATGAATATTTTCCTGAAGATAATTATACATTATATTCAAGCATATTTATATATTATATATATATATATTTATATTCAAGTAATAGATGACATATTTATATATTCTATTTAAAAATAAATGGCAGCACTATGTCTTGTCATTAACTTTATCAAAAGAACTTATAGGTTCAAAGCACCTAATTTCTAGTATAAGAACTGTACTTCAAATGTCCTTTTTTTTTTTTTTTTTTTTTTTTTTTTTTTTTTTTTTTTTTTAAGAGTTTTGCTTTATACTATTTACAGATGTGACATCTGAAATAATGCAATATATTTGTATGTATATAGAGTAAAATATTAGTAAATTCTACATAAGTACATTATTATTCTAAGATAATGTATTTAAAAATATTCAGTTTAATGCAAATATGTGAATCAATTTATACATATAAATTTTAAGTGTATGACTTCTGTTGGATGTTTTAAGTAAACAATCAAAAAAATTAACCTTTTTATCAACTTATCTTGCACATATATACATTATTACTTTTTTTTTTCCTATAAGAATAAACTTAATCTAATATAATAATCTAAAAATAAATAATACACAACATCTATTAAGGCAGACCATTTTTAGTACAGTAACAAATAATACAAGCAATATAATTTAATACTTTCAGTTGTCAGAGAATGAAGTGAGTTTTGTGAAGCTATTTAATGAAAAAATCTGAAAACAATTTTTGATGGTTCTAAAAGAATTAAAATATGTACATGAGATAAATGCCGCTCTTTTTGTTTTAACCCCTTTGAATAAATTTTAACCAATTTGATACTTTTTTACTTCTTTTCAAAACCTTGAAATACATGAGAAACTGATTTCAGGACCAACACATTTCAAGAAATATTGCTAACTGCAATGAATCAGCACACATGTATGACTTCATCAGAACCATCAGAATGTCTTGTATTACCTTTATTTATTTATTTAAAGTTACTAATGGATTTATATCTAGAAGAGCTGAGATTTCTAATACAGTTACCACACTGGCATTTTTAATGATCTTTTCACTAATGATTTGAAATCTATATATATTTTTTTATTATTATTTCAAATGAAAAGTTTTTGTTCATTTGTTTCCAAAATAACAGCTACTTCCTTAGTTCAATTATTATTTTTTCTTAACTGGTTTGTCTGGTGAACTCCTGTGATTTTTTTTTTTTTTTTTTTTTTTTTTTTTGAATACATTAATTCTGTAATTTGTTGTTTTCAGTTTTTAATTTCTCTTTTGAAAAGTTTTCTGCATTTTAACTTAATAGCCTTGAAACTTATGATCAACATTCAAAATCTAACTTCCATTTTAAATTTCAATGTTTACCTGGATTCATAACAAGTGTATTATTTTTAAATTATTCAGACAACTTAAGAGCTCTGTGTCTTACATCTTCATAATGGTAGAAAATTTCATTGTACAGCCTATGTACATTTTAGTTTTGTCATGTCATGCCATTTGTGAAATATTCCTTCTCTCTGCTTAATTTTATTCCATATATAGAGATATTCAGTAAGTTTAAGCATAATAAATTTGTAGAAGATAAATGTCTAAAATTCCATTTTCAGTTTCCTATGTAGACTTAAATGCATTTAGTACAGCAATCAATTACGCATTGAATTCCAATATAAAAATATTTTTTATCACAGCCTTCAGATCATTCCTGAACATCATTCAAATCATCATCAGACTGCAGTATGAAATATACAAATACTTCTTCTGTTTTTGAAACAAAAAAAAATCATTTGATGACAAGGTCTAGTGAACATTGTGCATAGGGTATAAGCTGAAATTATCATTCCTGGATTCCTGGAACAGCAATCTGGCAAATTTTAGTAGTCTTGTGTGCTGCAGCGTTTTTATGCATAGCGGAATTTTACTGCTAAGTTTGCTACACAGTTTTATAGTTAATAGGAATTGTATTGGATTATTACGTCAAAAAAATGTGAGAACTATCTGTCTAAGAGAAGATATGCCTTTTCAAAGGAACAATATAAGGAAAAACTGGCTCTGATTCACTTTATACATGAGGAAAACAGCAAAATCTCCTCTGGAGCCAGCCTATTCGTCAAGATAAAACTCTGAGCGAATTACTAGCATTCAGCGGATTTACCTCTCGTCCGCTGGTGGGCCTAGTACAAGTTGAGTCAACAGGTTAGCGTAATAAACTTTTATCATGATATTATGTGACCTATAATCTATAAGCAATGCTCTTCATAAAAAATGTTAATTCTGTTTGCTTTCTGGATTCTGAACTTAGCTCTTGTTTATCTATTCTC